TTGAATTGAATATTATTTATTCTTATATGTATTTTGTTCTAAATTGAATTATAATTTTCTGGGAAAACGAAGGTTTAATTCTGTTAAGGATTTGTTTTTAATTAATTATTAAATAATTTACATGTAATTACTGATAAGACTCATAATATTTTACATCATATATGCTATCAATTATAGCAATAGCACATTTAATTAATTAATTTATTTATTTATTTTATTTATCTTACGGGAGAGGTCCCAAAAATTAAAGTTTTGTGTACAATTCACATTATACAAAAGGTAATTATACTTAAATTACTGGAAAAAAGGAAATCAAAAATAAATACAGTGAGCAGTAATAAACTAACTAAACTAACATTGGTAGTATGATTTGTCGACATCATTTAATAACAATTTAAGATTATTTCTAAGTTCAGATAGACTAACTCCGATTATTTCAATTTGCGGATAGGAGTTTGCGAATCGCATCATTCTTATTATCGGGGAGTGTTGTAAATATAACGTTTTATACAGTTTTATACTAAAAGATTGATTAAACCTAAGAGTTCTTCCAGGAACATTAAATGTTATTAATTCAACTAAATACGACGAGTCAATACAACCGTTTAGAAGTTTATGAAAAAAGACAAAATCGAGAAACTGACGACGAGCAAGCAAAGTATTAATGCTTAATACCGAGGTAAGAGTGGTATGCAAATGAATTCAGACGTAACCTAAACCTGAAGAAACGAAGAAATTTGTGCTGCACCCTTTCGAGTTTTGAAATAGGAGTGGAATAATAGGGAGACCAAACTTGGGAACAATATTCGAGAGAGGAACGAACAAGAGTCAGGTACATTAATTTAAGGATAAAGGGATTGCGAAAGTTTTTTGATAAGCGCGGCATAAATCCAAGTTGTCTCAGTGGTTTATTACAAATAAAATCAATGTGTTTCTGATACGAAAGATCAGAAGAGAAAATAACTCCGAGATCAGTAACGGTAGATTTTCTTTAATTTTTATAATTTTTAATTTAATTTTTAATTTTTAAATATATTCCTGCTCCATCTTCAGTACCCACAGCACGAACGGTTTTTCTCGTACCCTTAATCATCATACTGATGACACGGATCAGGCTGAACTGAATTCGGACCTTTACCCAACACGAGACTGTAGAGTAGGTACGTATGGTCTGTCCCATTTCTCTGTGTTAGACGATATGTGTACCTATTGACTAAAAGTTAAGCCACCAACTCTGGAAAAGCGCTGGGCAGCAGCTAGAAAGCCAAAAGGCTGTTGAAAAACGCGCATTCCCAGCAACACCTCTAATTTTTCTACAACCTTCGTTGCTTCGTAAGCTATGAATGGACATATAAATACATATATCGGAAAAATACGGGACGCCCTGGAAAAGCCTACAGAATGCCTAGAATCTCTGTAATAAGCTCTATAGGTAAATAACGTTCTAACTTTAGAAAAAATCAAAAGGCTATGCTCTATAAAGACCCTATAGAGCTCTGGAAATCGCCTAGAAGATTATGAAAAGCCTCAATGTGTTTTTATAAAGAGGCCTCAATGATCAAGAAGTCCATGGAAAACAGAAAAAAAACACTTAGCGCTTTCCATTGTTTTCTTTTAGTTATTGTTTTCTACCTATACCTAACTCTTGCCAGGAAAGATTGCCGGTCGCAGCACTGCACCTGGTGTCGATCTACAATCTATGTTTTTCTTAAGATGCGAGCGACTTCCGGAATAGAATCGTGCCAATGTTGAACGAAAAGTCTTTTTGTTCAACATTGACACGATACTATCCCAGAAGTCGCTCACATCTTTAGAAAAACATAGATTGTAGACCGGGATCGTGTTCCTTGACCGGCAATCTTTCTTGGCGAGAGGTTTATATGAGACTTCAGCAGTGGACTTTACTAGTCTGATAGGCTGCACCCAAGCTTACCGTCACTTTTACATTGCATCAACCATAAAATGGAAGATTAACGCTGCGCTTATACTAAAAAAGAAAGTCCGTGTACTTAATCCTCTTTTACATCGTGATTTTAGTAAAAACAGTTTCAATTTATTTTGTGTTTTGTTTTATGGCACTTTAGCATTTCTTTCTATTAATTTAAAGTGTTATAATAGCTGCGCAAGTTTTCGTTTTTTCCCTCGTTTTTTCCCATTTGACAAAAACAGTTCTTTAAAAATCAGGACGTAATTATAGACTGTGCTTATTTTCATAGTGTAAAATTCAATGTTGATGAGAAAAAGGGAACTTTCCATTTAGAAAATGAAGTTTTCGCAATATCAAACTTGAGTAACGAATTTTTCCCATGTCTTATTTGAAATTGAAATTGAAATATATTGAAATCACATAAATATTTACCTACATATGAGTGAATTACATCATGCCCAAGATGCGTAAGCGGGTAACTCCTTCGAATAACCGGATAACTGTGTAAATTTAGAATTACATATTATGTAGGTACCTAAATTCATTTTCTGCACTTCTTTAATTTTTGTGCTACAGCTACCTTTTTGAACAGAACACACCCAATCAGAAAGAAAGATGTATTGTAGTAAGGTTGCCAATAGAATATGCATTTTAAACATCCATATATAACATGTGTTTTGCGTGTTGGAATAAAAATATAAAGACTTTTTTGTTGCCGTAACAAGTATATAGCACTTGCGGAATCCTTTGGCTTTTACCACCCCCACGTTAGTAAGGGAGATTGGGATTTTGAAGCACCAGGAATCTGAATCAGACAAAATCTCTATGACGTCGGTATGTCTGTACTCTCATTTCCAGCTAAACGGCTGAACCGATTAGAACCAAATTTGGATCACATACAGGGTGTTACACGACCGTTCGAAAAAAAAAATCGGGTTGTAGAGGGCATCAAAACAAGCACTTTTTCCAAATAAACCGAGGGTCCAACGTGTTTCGTTTGGGAGCCACCCCCCAAAGAGTGTTGAAATCTGCATTTCTTCTTTAATTTTTTTCTCAGCAACCATAAGAGTTACAAAGTCGGGTGGCATGTCTTTGAATAGGTTTTTGGGTATGCTCTTTCCGATTTTGCAATTTTTTTTTCAAAATTCCTACCCCTAAAGGGCGCACCCCTAAACTAGGGTGCAAAAAAAAATTCTGATTTCGACGAAATTTGGTATCTGGGGGTTTTTTAACATGAAAATCACGAATCTGAAATTAGTTTTTGAAAATTCGAAAAAAAAAAGTTCCACTGCAATTCTTGGCGGGACAACGAAAATAGAGATAATTCCACGAAATTTGTTGTGTACATACTAAACGAGTTAAGGAACAAAACTGTCGAACAGTTTTTTAAAATAACTTTTCAAACAAAAGTTATACTCATTTGAATGTTGGTCCTTCGGGTCGCGAAGTGTCCCAAGCCTACTAGTAAGCCATAATTTCGCATGGTTGGTCGCGTGATGGCAGCTTCAGAAGTTATTAAAACCAATCCTATGATGGTGTTGAAGTCGTCAAATTCTGTTCCAAGGAGATGCAGATTGTGCGTGGCTGCTGGCGGTGGCATTTTTGAAAATGTTGCATAAGCATATCGCTTCATTTTTGGAAGAAGTGAAGTCCGTTACTGATCACTAAAAACAAAAAAAGTTCTTTTCAGAACTGCCAAATGTTTTCTAGAAAAAATGAACCGTGACCTTTAAGATTATCTTCAACTGAATAAAACACATGCGAAATTATGGCTTACTAGTAGGCTTGGGACACTTCGCGACCCGAAGGACCAACATTCAAATGAGTATAACTTTTGTTTGAAAAGTTATTTTAAAAAACTGTTCGACAGTTTTGTTCCTTAACTCGTTTAGTATGTACACAACAAATTTCGTGGAATTATCTCTATTTTCGTTGTCCCGCCAAGAATTGCAGTGGAACTTTTTTTTTCGAATTTTCAAAAACTAATTTCAGATTCGTGATTTTCATGTTAAAAAACCCCCAGATACCAAATTTCGTCGAAATCAGAATTTTTTTTGCACCCTAGTTTAGGGGTGCGCCCTTTAGGGGTAGGAATTTTGAAAAAAAAATTGCAAAATCGGAAAGAGCATACCCAAAAACCTATTCAAAGACATGCCACCCGACTTTGTAACTCTTATGGTTGCTGAGAAAAAAATTAAAGAAGAAATGCAGATTTCAACACTCTTTGGGGGGTGGCTCCCAAACGAAACACGTTGGACCCTCGGTTTATTTGGAAAAAGTGCTTGTTTTGATGCCCTCTACAACCCGATTTTTTTTTTTCGAACGGTCGTGTAACACCCTGTATAGGTACCTACTTAGACATAAAAGAAACAACTGAAACCCTTTTGAGTAGAACGCGCATGTACAGGTTTGCGAGTTGTATTTGTCTAGTCACAGCAAACTTCTTTTACATTATTCCAATCGTTATTTTCATTTTCATGTTATAAGTATCCCCAATATCTCTAAGACCACACTTCTTAGAGATCGATTCGATTTTTTTGCATTTCCGCTTAGGGGTGCGCCATTTTTGGATAGGGATTGTGGAACAAAATGCAGGCAAATTCCAAAATGTTGACAAATTCCTTAACTTTTATCGCCGTATTGAAAAAAAAACGAGACAAAAAAGCAAAAGAAAAACACAGGTTTTAAAGCCAAACATCTTGGTAATGCAGTATATTTGGAAAGAGTAGGTATAATATTTTTTTTGTTCCGCTCTCCCACCCAATTATTTTGGAATACGTAATTGTTAAACACTATACTGTTAGTAGGTACTAGCATTGAATAACCACTTTTCAATGATATTTGATATTAGTAAGAGATAGTCTTTGCTTTAATAAGATGAGGTTCCGTACTGACTGAGAGAGTCGTAGCTCAGATAGATATCCACAGTGTCCTTACCCATAAATTGCGATTTATTTCATAAAATTGGATTTAATTTGGAACATAAAACAAAGAATAAATATCATACGCGCATATTCTTATTTACACGCTTCTTAATATATACCAGATAGGTTAATGAGTATATAATCGTACCAAAATGTGGAAACGTACACTTTCAGTTCGCATTCTTCATGTCTTCCAAAGTGGTAAGGAATTCAATTACGTCCATAAGATTTATAATGTTACCCAAATTTTAGATACTTTTGATCTTTATCGCGATTGTGGTTGTCATCAGCTATGGTACGTCCGATCATTGCAATGATCACGAAGCTATAGAGAAAAATCCATTTACACTTCGCCCGCTGGACATGCCACCATCTGATCAACTGATGATGGAGCTATTTGGACCTCCCCAACAATACGTTCCTCCCAAGTCATTTTATGATACTGGTCGTGGTTAAACTTTAAACATGCTGTGGTTTCCTCTAACTGTCAACATATTGTAACCGTATAATACATAGAACTGCAAATGTGCTCGTTAAATAGACATCCCCATTTGATAGCGAGTAGTTCATTATGTTAATGATCTAGTTTTCAAATAATAAATTAAGTCATTCCATTAAATTAATGGTTATCGATCGAGATAAATCAGTATCGCCCAAAGCTCACTTTGTCATTAAGCTTGTTTACCTTTGCCGCATAAGAAATTCATTTACTTAAATTTACTACCTCCCAGTTGAGTTGCTTCTACGTATTATTATGCATTTCAAAGGAGTAAGTACATCCTGTATCAGAAATTCTTTAATTACTAAGGGTTTTCAGATATATATTCTGTTGATTGGCATAAATGTCGTGTGGTCAGCTCCAAAAAATAATGATGATCGTAAACCTAAACAAGCTCTAACTTTTTTCGGGAGTTTCTTTGGAACTAAAAAGCCTCCTACTGTAAGCACCTTGAAATCCATCAAGAATGACAGTCAAACAAACGCGTACGTATATACTGAAAATCACAACAAAGATGGTTTAAAGGGAATGCAAGAGGAGGCCACCATTTTGTTTGAATATATCGAGGAGGATAGCAAAATGAAAGGAATGTCGGAGAAGCAAATCATTTCGAATAAAGATTCATACTTTCTGTTTACCAAGGAAGGACAGAATTTTAGTTCCAATCCATTTTTAGGCCCAAAAACTGATTCTAATTCCACAACATTTACGGTAATTGAAGCGAACGCCCTTAGTGCAGCAGTTAATGACGGCGGCGTTATGGAAACGAAAATTAACGTTGAAAACATAATAATCGTCTACTGCACTGATCCAGTTACTAAGACAGTAATCGCCAAATATGACAAGGAAAGTGCAATGAAAAACTACAAGGATGTAATGGTGGTCAAGGAAGAAAACATGACCGAGTGGTCTCCAATCCCAAATTCAACACCAGCACCCTCCCAATACGTCACCAAAAATATCACAATGTCGATTCGTGGGCGTATTCACTACTGTCAAATAGTTACAGTTCCATCAGATGCTGTGACAATAGAAACCGAACGAATTCCAACAATGACCACGGATTCCAATAAAAATGTTGTGACCACAGGAATGAATGTGAATACCGTACCACTAAAAGAAGAAGTAATAGTTCATAGTGGTTCGATTTTAAAAGAAATTGAATCTACTATTACACCTTCTTCGACAGTTCTACCTATCTCAGTAATGAGTACTCCAATTAACAACGTTGTTACCTCAGAAGTGAATTTGGACAGTAAACCAACTAAGGCGCCGCTAAAAGAAGATATAATACTTCATAATGGCTCAGATTCGCAAGAAAACGGATCTACTGCTACAATTGCAGTGGATGACAAGACTGACGGCACAACAAAAGACCAAACATCCAAGCCCTTTATTTCAGAAAAAGTATCCAGTAAAAACGCTTCCCTGACCAATTCTTTTATTTTGGAGTCGTACGCTACCCTTTTATTGCAAGATGACGAGTCAGAAGAAGACTCGAGCAGCTCTTCGACCCAAGAAGTGTCAGATCCAAAAATGTCCCCCTGCGTAGGTGCATGTTCCCACTTATACATCAGTTCAAGTAGTAAACATCCGATGAAAGACAAACACTCTTTGATAAACCGGTTTGATAGTAGTAGTTCAATGAGTAGCAGCGAATCGGCGGAGGACGAAGTTGGAGTTTACATATCAAAGAAAGAAGGGATGAAACCTAAGGAAGTTAGCGTGGAGGATGATATTAGTAGTGATTTTGATAAAATAAATGCTGGTGGTGCCACATTTCGAGTGCATGATTTTTTATAGTGATTTCGCAGCTTATAGCAATTTCGCATGCAACCACATTGCGTTGGTTTCACGTGAATATAGTGTAGAGAGAACTTTTAACCTTTGCATGTGATATGTTTGAATTAAAAATTTACAGCATGAATTATCTATTTAATTAATACCTACAAGGTGTCGCAATCAAGACGAAACGAAGGGGAACATCTTTTGCTACAAAATTAAGTCACTAGATTCTTTTTAAATGACGTAGTAGTCCATCGTAATAATTAATGCCTTGAATTTTGATCGATTTCGAAAATATCATCGCAAAGAAATTTAATATTTTGTCGTTTCATCCGTAGATTGAATAGATAAGATTACAAAGATCAAACCCAAACTTGATATGTCCGAGTGTTTTTTCGAAAATTAATTAGTTTTCGATGAGCCACCCTATACAGGCTGATTCAAATTTGAGGGCCACCATGGGGATCTCGGGAACTGAAAAAGATGGGTAGGTAGTTTAAATTTGACAAAATTGTTTTTTTATGCTTAACAAAATGCAATTTGGAAACTGAAAAAATTCCGACTACCTTCGGGGATATCCGGAAAAAAACGAAATTTTGCAAAATCGTTTATATTTTTTTATCTGCGCCTGTAGGATAACTCTCACTTATCCCGGTCATTTTAAGTGGGATAAGAACTTAATTACCACACTCAGTGGGATAAGCCCTTGTCAAAACAATGTATGATCAAAAATCAACTATCAAGATTATATATTGTAAACATTAACGTCTGATGGAAGAGTTCCAGACTCACTCATGACATAAGTAAGGAAATCAGAAGCAAAATTTTTGACGTACAAATTTTCTTGACGTTAGGATTTTCTTGTTTCTATGGCGTCGAAAACTGCTAACTATGCTACTTCGATTGGAATTTAAAAAAATGCATCAAATTTATTTTTCGTTTTTAGCAGTAGAAGAACAGTCGCAGATAAAAAGTTGTATTTAATACTTGGGCTAACGGCCATTAACATACTCATGCTCTTACAATAGCTCGGGCTAACGCCCTCGTATGCGCAATTGTCGCATTCGTAAGTTAATGAGGCCGTTATCCCACTGATTAAATAAATAACTATTACTGAAGTTATTTAAAAAGAAAAATACAAACTGAAAACACCAAACGCAACTTTTGGCGGATGGATAAGGCTATGTCGTGTAAAATATATTGCAACAAATACCAAAAACCCACAAAGACGTTTTGATAGGTCTCGCTGGGGCGAATATCATGAACGGAGTAGAGTACGTTGAATTCACAGTATTCTTAGCTTACATGCTTTGCAAAAAATAGGAACGCCGCCGTGGCCTACCTAAGGGTGTTAAAATCCGTCATTTTGTTGGGAAAACCTCATTTGCTCAAGGATCACGACATGACTTTTGTGCCTTTTTGACGAGCAATATGTCCAAATAGTTTTTTTTAACGAACTTTGTTGGCAAAAGACCAAACGAGATTTATTTTTACCATAAAGTACCAAAAGTACTACTATTTCTTAGTGGTACCCACTGAAATATCTACCTACCCCAAGTTAACGTAATGCACCAAAACTATTTCGAAAATAATCTGCTCGTCTGTCCATCGTGTTAAGTAATAAGTAGACTTTAACTTTGCATAAATTATACAAAGCCTTAAAACAAAAGAGCAGCAACTCTTGCCGGATATTGCCTAATTTAGATAAGAATTGAGTAATATAATATAAATCCTTGTGTATTCCCAAAACTAAATTCGTTTTTTTAATCTGTCTAATGCCAAATTAAACGGATTATATTGTCATTAGTAGTCGTTTACAAGAATTGATTAATAGAAAAAAACAATTACCCTAATGCCGTCTTAATGGCATAAAAGAGCACTATAAACTTTGATGTTACCATTTAACAGTGTCCATTGAATTATTACAATGACACTCAAACCAGTAAGATTTTTTTTTCTTAAATCGTTTTTGCTTTTAATTACCCTAATCTTGTTTGCAGGTAACTCTTTTGATATTTTTGTTGGCATCATCCACAGCTTGGGATTTCGATTTGTTGGTGGAAACCATCTACGATCATTTTGAAAGTTACGAATATGACGATTCTGCTGAATCAGAAAACTCTACCCAACCAGCCTCTACCACTTCTTCTGTAACGTCTTCATCGACACCATCTACCACTCCACCTTCACCTCCGACACCGTCTACAACTACTATTCCACCGTCATCTTCACCACCTTCTACATCGGCGACTTCTCCCGTGGTATTAGCAGCACCTGTTCCCGATGCCGCACCGTCGACACGTAGAAAACGGGAAGTGTTGCACGCTGAAGATGGTAACCAATTTAAGCGACTGTACGAAAATGTGCCGTATCCGAGCAGGTATGCGCCGAACTACCAAGGACCACTATGGGAGTCGACAAACAACAAGGAGAATCATCGGGAGGCTAGGAAATCTCAACACGTAGTTAAAGCGAAAAGCGGCGACTCCACCAAAGTAGAACTAATCAAGCTACTTTTGAAGTTAGTTGAAGAGTCCGAAAATGAGAAACCAAAACACGACCGCCCAAACGTTGTCCAAAGAATTCTGATCAAGATGCCGCAAGTTCAACACGAAGTGATCGACGACTCTAACCAAAAAGATAGAGAAAAATGCAAGTCTGACGATAAAAACTACATAACGTGCGTGACCGATCGCAAAGTGGTGGAAACGGTCAAAATTAACCCTGTAGATCATTCAGAGGTACGCAAAATACACGAGAACATAAAAGTTTCGATTATGAAAAACGATAAACTGCCGCCAGATACAAAGGAAGAGGCCATAGATAAGGTCTTTAAACACGAACCTTCCCATGTAGGTCCCATGAGCTATGAGGAAGACGATTACCATCCGTATCCTTATCATCATAGAAACGACTACAAGGGGGAGAAAAATAGAAGAAGACATCGTCCCGATTATCTGTCTAGTAGATTTAACGCAGAAGACGAAAAGAAGGACAGTGGAAAAGAAGCTCCTAGTACGCCCAAGATGCAGAAATGAGATCACGTCGGAAAATTTCTGTTTTCAAAATTAAATTCTTGCGTTTGTCTGTTTTTTTATACCTACATCTTACTATGTCAGTCGAAGAATGAGGAAAAATATAATAAAACGGTTGTAACTAGTAATCATTTAATATGTAGGTATGCATTTTTCTTGGCAGATCTGAACACACATCGCATCCATTGGCATCTATCGCATAAGTATGTTACACTATTTAAAATGGCTATGAGTGTTCGTCGATCGAGTGAGATGTCAAGCTGCAAGTAGGGAGACTCCACTTGCTCCCACCGCCGATTGCGAAGATCGTGGTGAAATTGTTTTTTGGTGGCAAAAAATAAAACTGAGACTGAAATTCGTCGCGTGTTATGTACTGGTTATGGTGATTGGTGAAGACGTTATGTGAAGGTAAATTCTTTTACAGTGATATCATGAGTGATCGTCATATAACTCCTCGAATTTTCCCTATTAGTTCCCAGAAGAGGAAATTACAAGAGGAACGTGAAAATAAAAGTGAAGAAAATTTGGCTGAAACGCAACTATTTTACATCGACACTCAAACAAAAACTTCCACAAGATCCTGAAAAAACAGCAAGCTATTCAGCAGAGGATGGAGATGAGGTCGATAGTGGTCAAGATAATCCAGCTGGCGACCCCGTATAGATTCTTCGAAAATTTGCTGTGGCCAGCACAGATACCACCCGAACCGGATTACAATTAATAGTTGTTTGGTACAACTAGAGAAGAAAGTGGAGTTTTTCAACTCGAGTTCAAAGTTCAATTGAATGAGAAAAACACTTTCTTCTCAAGTTTTACACATAATTTTTTCTGAAACTACAATCAAAATTGAAATATTATCGTATGGAATAGGTCATGAAATTTGACACACAGCAATCTAGATTCTAGATACGGGTATGTCTGTGTTTCAATTGCAATTGTCGCAGCAATTGTTTTTTGCTTTCTTCATTAGGAAGGATAATCACATTTTCTTCACCTTTTTAGAGACGAAAGTTGTTTCTCAAGTACCTAGTTTCAGAATTACGTAATACGTAATTAGGGAAGGGCAGTCACCGATTATTTATGAAATCAGGATGTTCTGGGAAAAATTTTTGCCGGCTCGCTCCATCAAAATAATATGTCAAACAGTTGTCAAGGAAACGATTTCATGGGTAATAAGATGGCAACCAAAAAATTGTTATGCATGTTTTCAGAAAAAAATTGCTTTTACTACTTTATACTTTATAGATACACAATCTACTGTTAATAATTTTCACAATCGCAATTTTGACTAAATGCAGGGGCGGACTGGGTATACTTACGGGCCAGGTGGAATTGCATAGGTTACAGGCCATTAAAGTATTAGTGTAGTAATGAAGGTGGCGGGGGGGGGGGGGGTTGCTTCATTTTAATTGCAGCTGATAATTAAAACTTTTGATTGAGACGTCCGATCGAAAAAGTACGATTTGTTTTGGATTCTACGCAACAAAATTAATACGAAAAGTGTTTTCCCGAGAAATTTTGGTGCAGTCGTTTTTTGGTAAAAAAGGTGCCTTTTTTTGAGGCCCGAAAAAAAATTGTCTCAGATCGACCCGAAGAAAAAAATTTCTTAAAGAATGTGGCCCGTAGAATCCATAATTTCAAACAGTTTGAAGATTGGGCTACTAGATCAAAAGTTACAGCCCTTTGAATTTTCTTTCGAAATTGGGTTCTAGTCCATAACTTTTGATTGAGAAGTCTGATCGAAAAAGTACGAATTGTTTTGGATTCTACGCACCAAAATTAATAAGAAAAAGTGTTTTCCCGAGAAATTTTGGTGCAGTCGATTTTTGTTAAAAAAGGAAGGATACACTGCCTTTTTTTGAGCTCCGAAAAAAAATTGTCTCAGATCGACCCGGAAAAATTTTTTTTTATAGAATGTGGCATGTAGAATCCATAATTTCAAACAGTTCCAAGATTGGGCCACTAGTTCAAAAGTTACAGCCCTTTGAATTTTCTTTCGAAATTGGTTTCTAGTCAGGGGCGGGCCAGGTGGAATTGCATAGGTTACGGGCCATTAAAGTATTAGTGTAGTAATGAAGGTGGCGGGGGGGTAGCTCTGCGGTGCACCACAGAAACATTTTTTGCTTCATTTTAAAGTACTCCTTTTTCGGAAATCAATTACAATACAGGTTTTTTAAAAATTGCAACTGATAATTAAAAGTAACAAAATATACAATCCAAACGAGGCGCGTCGCCTATCATTGTATTTCATCACTTTCATGCTACGACAAAGAATGATAAATTCATTGTAAAACACTTCAATTAAAACAGAATTTTTTAATTTTTTAACAACCTAACGTCAAACCCAATTAGAGAAACGTGTTAATAACTTATTAATAGTGCAAGAAACTAAAGACAGCACATACTTATAAATTTCCAACGGGCCATTATGACGTACAGGACAGGTGGCAATCGCCACCCGCCCTGCCCTCCCGGGCGAGTCCGCCCCTGACTAAATGTATTTCAATCCTTAGTAAAGTGTCTGTACAAGTAGAAGATACTCTTATACCAAATTTGGTTCAATTGGATGCAATAAGGTTAAGCATAAGAATTTGGTTCCAATCGTTTCAGTCGTTTAGCCGGAAATTAGACTACAGGCAGACCGACCGACTTCACCGAGATTTTGTTTTATTCGGATTATATTAATGCCAAAAAGTGGGGGGGGGCATTTTTTTACCCCATTACTAACGTGGAGGTGGTAAAAATTTGTGGCCACAATCAAAAGGCAGTAAATGTTTGTGGTTTAATTAATTAATCTAACCGGGGTAATACAACAGAAGCAATGATCATATATTGGGTGAAGAATAGAAACTTGTACTACAGATTAAATCTGTGCTTGTACGGTGTAAAATAAGCTCCCAAGGTGCTGGAAAACATACGTTTATCAAATTTTCTACATGAACAAGCTTTTAATGTGAATGTGATCAGCTCAGCAGTTTTATGCTTATTTATGCGAAATAAAAATAACAAGTAAGTAACCATTTGCCATGTGTGTAGATGATGGTCTCAACGATGAGAATGAAGTAAGAACATTCTTAGGAAACTGTGGATGAAATTTTGGAATCAAAGGTACTTTATAGAGAGGCCTGTCCAGTGTCCTGACCTGACAGTCCATTTTCTGTAATTTTAGCATCTCCAACTCTTCAGAAACTTATCCAGATCAACTGAAATTTTGTCAAATTGTATATTACGAGGTCTATTAAGTATTATTTATTCTCCAATAACATGGTAAAAGTGAATTAGATTAGGGGGATAATATATTTCTGTAATCTGTTCCCACAAATCACAGATTTACCGCCAATATTGCTAGCACCTAGCGCCACATATAGTTTATTTCTTGTAACTGCAACAAAGAATTCTTTTATCTTCCATCATATGCGATTTGATTTGAAAGGTTGATATCTACAATACATTTGAATTTCAATCTCTGCTTTCTAAATAGTTCTAAAATTAAATAAAAATGTCTGCATGAGATTCTCGTGTTTAAAGTAATTGGTAATCTTAAATGTATTACTATTTAGATGTATCATTGTAAGTATCATCTAAGGTAGTTCACGTATGTCTTAACCTCACTTTTCCAGAGTACTTGCTGATAATCAAGAAATAACACCCGCTCTATTTAAAAATCATATTCTAACTTCCGTGAAGCAAGTTTTTGGAGAAATCGGTGCTGCAGTGCCTTTTGATGTCTTGAAATACGATTCTACAGAAAACAGGGCAATACTGCGTGTACCACGAGATCATTACATAAAGTTTCATGGAAGTCTCACCTTAGCTGGATATTATCAAGGTGTACGTTGCGCATACACTGTCCATAAGGCTAGTCCTTTACTGCTGTCTCTGTTGGGTGATAGTCGAAGTTACGTTCATTAAAATGTCACACTGCCGTAAATTGGGGCCAAATAATAAGGACATTGTAATATTTGCGACTAAAGAGGACCATGCTGTTCCAAGTACGGTGTCTCTTCCGGAACCAGATCCACAGCCCGGATTAATTTTGCCTAACGGCGATATTAACTGGAATTGTCCTTGTTTGGGAGGGATGGCAACTGGTCCTTGTGGTATTGAGTTTCGAAATGCCTTCAGTTGCTTTCATTACTCAAAAGAAGAGCCTAAAGGTAAGCTGTTGCTGTAGTTTTAATTCAATACTTTTAGATTTGAATTATTTTAGGTACAGACTGCTTTGAGCTTTTTAAAACTATGCAAAATTGCATGCAAGACTATCCAACGTTGTATAACAAAGATTTAGTTGATGATGATGAGTTAAATGAGGCATTAGACGAATCGAAAAATGTTACAGAAGATAATAAAGAAAAGAAAACCTAAGCTCAAATTCGTTAAGATTTATATTAATTTTAAGTAGTTATAATTTAGATGGTCAACTGGATGTTACAAGAATTGAAATATGTTGCAATAAATAAAGATTTCAATTTTGTTTTTTTTTGTAAATAACTGCCAATTGCCACAAGGGATTCCAACGTGATGAATATGATTTTGGTTATTATTGATGCTGCTGACTGCTGCGCATATTTTAAATAACATCCACTAGGAGGAATTTTTTCAGCATTTTTCATGTTCAGAAAGTGTTGATTCATCATTCTTCCAGCATACTGTATTACAATTAGGTATATACGGAACATGAAAGTGTTTACATAGACACCCTGTATAGAATTATAATAAACGAGGATTACCATTTCAAATAAAGAACACCATAATTGACCTTTTCAAAATTTGGAACGCGTACTCGCTTGAGAGGACGAGAGAAAACAGTTCCACCGAAATTTACCAAATAAATATTCGGCATTATTAAAGAAGTGGTTCTAAATCTAAATTGATAAGTACTACAAATTTATATAGGTACAAAATTCACTTTCCAAATATGGTATATTGGGATAGTCCAGTTGGAGATGTACGCGGGAATTCATGGGTTTACACTTAATCCTAAAGCATGTTTCGAAGTACATATTTCTCCCTTATCCATATTCGTGCGTGTAATTAATAACTCGCATTAAATATACTTTCCATTTCACGAAAAAAAAGGTGTCAAACAAAGATACCGATACGGCGTGAATTGTATGGGCAGACAAGGCAGGAATTGAAAGTTCTTCAAACACTGTTACAATTTAAATATTTAAGTTCAAACTATCAAGCTAATTAGATGTAAATTAAACGGGCTAGAATAAAAGAAAATGTTTGGTAACGGATTAGTTTAATATTGGCCTGAGTGCTGTTTTTATAAAATTTCCCGCTTTGAGTGTTGGAGGAATTCCGATAGATGGACCATGCGGCAGATAAAGAATTTCTACATTATCGGTAAAATAAATCGCCAGACAGAAAGTTACGTACATCTGTGATAATAAATTGTTGTGTGTTAAAAGTAGTGAAGTGCAGTTTTTTTAACGTGCATTTAGTGTGATTACTTTGTGCAAATTCTCAGTGCTTCCTTAGCAGTGCCTAAGAAGTGCATTTTGCTACACGTAATGAACATAAAGGGAAAATCTACAATGAAAGACAAACGCAAGTAAGTCACATTACACTGTTTTAATTAAAATTTGTATCGTGTAATAAAGAGGTCATGCACGACGATCTGTCGACTCGTTATCTTTAAAAATACTCGGTTGACCGGTCATGTGGCATTTGTTATTCGCTACCAAAAAAAAGAATAACATCCACCTTCCCCCCCGTCTGACCGGGGTCATAAGAAACAAAACATCCCCCCTGAACTCGCCCCCGAATAATCAAACGATTTGCCTCTTTCAGACGAATTAATCGGAATATTTAGGCGTAGCCTCCCGTTTAAAAATAAACAAGAGTGATCCATTTTAACCTGTTTATGTGTTACTCTTCGTTTTGTAATTAAATTGAACTCGTTTGGTAACTTGATGTTTTTCGTCTGAGAAACATTTCCGTTATTAGTTTACTTTCATTAGTTACCTCCGATTAATGTCCGCGATAGTAAAAATCCATTAAAAAGTTATCAAATTTGGTAGGTATGGGAAATTGAAAAAGAAATAGGTATGCACGTCAAGGTTGGCCAGCTCGTTTTAATTTACCTGTGGGTACAGTTACGGTTCCGGGGATTATCTTTAGGGGTTGTAAATATAGCTTGCTTGCCGATTTGCTCTTTAATCTCCGGGTAAATTCCTCTGTTAATACAAACATTGCTTGGGTATTTGTCCAGTAAATATCGGAGATCAAAAGGACCGATTCTCATTAGTCGGGGTTTTTCCAATAATACAATTCTTCCATGAAATCGCTGTCAAAAGTGTGGCCCAGAAATGTTTAATTTTCTGTGGTTAGTTCGTCATTGGCCATTGCCTTTTAATAACTGAGAAAGTACGGAAATTCAAAAATGAGATCAACTTTTTTTTTCAAATCGGAAGGTAAACTGCTCTTCAATCATTTTGAGAATGCTAGTACGAAACGTCTAAAAGATGAGCGACATTCATAACTACTTACTAGGTTTTTTACTCGATTTTGTAATTTTTGACAACTGGTGGCCGCTGGTGGCTTTTGATCATAACATTGTCAACCTTTTCAACACAAAAGTTGTAAGTATACAAAAGTTTAATTAAACCCTTGATTAAACCAGAGCATATTTTAAATAACTTCCACTAGGCGGCACCTCGGGCGGCACTGAACCCAGCACCGGTGTGCCATACTGGGGGCTCCACTTTCAATGTAAAATTTTTGGGGGCCCCAATCTTCGAGAATATTCCGTGATTTGGAAGTTCCAATATTGACGATGAAGTGATAAATAGTTCGCGCTCGTGTTTACATGTTATATAAGTAACTCAATCGATTATAAATTTATTATTAAATTTACGTTACATTATCATTTGTACCATTTTTCAAGATATTGTAAAGTTGAAATTTGTAGAACTGTCGAAAAAAATTACTTTACAGGATATCAATGCGGTTGTTTTTGCTAACTGAAATAAAGTGTGTAGCAAGATACTGTTCTTAACAATGGTTACAAAGCCGTTACAAAGTCATTAAGAGCTTTACTCAGTACCTCAAGTACTCGCTCAAGTACCTAAACACGTAAAAAAATAAATAAAGCACGAGTTTAACATTCGAATTTATCAGCTCACCTTTTCAAAAAGATTAAAGATTTTGACAATTTACCTTTATTCAACAAATATTCAATGAACAAACCCATATAGGTCTTCATGAATTTCTCAAACATATTCTAACGTTGATGTAAGGGGACAATCGCAGTAGAAATGTAGTGTATAGGGTGTTCCATTCTCAACACATTTATAGGGTATCTTTTTGGGTAAAATAAAAATTTGAAAATTTCGCTCGCTTAAGAGATGCGGGGGAAAATAATAAAATTGTCAATTTCAGAATGACCCTATATATTTTTAGGTAATAGCGCTACAGAAAAATGTTTATTACAAAAGTTTTTTCTCGGTTTTTTTATAATGATTGTTGAGCACTATATGTATATTTTAATCTAAAAATTAAAAGATAGCATATTACATTCATTTTGCAAAAATAGTACACAAGGGATTATACTCGGGCGAGTACTCGGGATTATATTAAAAAACTCAAAAATAATAAAAAAGATTTAAAAACATTTTTTACATTATCTTGTGTGAAAATTTAGCATTATGTACGAGACGAGGTACGAGATTATGTAGGTACCTACTTCCGAGGATACTTCCAAGTCAAAAATTTCATTGTAACTACGCACTAAGCATTTGAGTTCGAGGATTTTGTAACTACTCCTCGACTACCCCTTACAAATCATAATTGAGGATTTTGAAGATTGATAATTCCGTCACTAAACTCTACGTCGAATGAAGGAGGAATATATCAGCTCTAAACGACCGCATCTTAATTGACAGTTACGCAACATTATTATTGTAAAAATAAATAACTCCTAAACAACGAGAAATATAAGCAATTAGCTGTACATTGTTTTTCCAGTTCCAAATATTTTAAATTTAATCCCACTTTTTTCAAGATGCTTAGAGTATTTGAAAAAACGAAAATTTACTTATTTTGTTTTTGGCCTACTGTTTAAACTTCTACTTTATTTTAAAAAATATCCCAAATTTTTTACAGAACAGCCTCCCAACTCAAAAGTTGCCCTACACTTGACCCTTAAAGGGGCAGTTATGTGAAAATGTGCATAGCGTAATTAAATGGGCCCCTCCATATAAAGAATATTTTATTTACTAAATTTTCGATCTCCCCGCTAGTTTCCGCAATTATAATCGACTCTCTCATTATAAAAGACACACTGAATCGATATGTCGATCATGGAATTCTACGTATTCGATTCCAAGAAGAGGTAGATTGTGCGTGCCTGCGGGTGGTGGGAAAATGTTATTTAAGTAGAATTCCATTACAATCAATACCCATTATTCCAAGTATTATAGTATTGACTTAAATCATTATTTTTTGGTATTTGCGTCATTTTTCGAGACATTTTTAACATATCCGAATTTTTAAAACTAATTTCAGATTCGTGGTTTTCATGTTGAAAAAAGTTTCTTTATACCTGCTGCTATCGGACCTAACCTTATTTCAATGTAAGACCTAGTACTTATATTATAATCTAAAAAGGGCAGATCCTCTTTTCAAAAATATAACAATAAATTTAAAAAGTATCCTCGAAAATATCTTTTTGAAATGTTTGTGTATTTTTTTATCATTTGAACCTTTTTTTAAATACTTTTTTGAACCACTTGATCTTGAATGTTTTTTGAATATCATCCTTGGTGTGTGATATTTTTAAAAACAGAATTTAATATCTTATCTTATAGATAAAAAGACAGGCTGTTTCATTTAAAAAAATTAGTTTAAGTCCGATATCTGTTTTATCTGACCCCGTATACTTATTTTGAAAACGGTAGATTGTTCAACAATAATTATAAAAATACCTTTTAATAAACATTTTTCTGTTTCTTTTAACATGGTTTAATATCGTCATTCTGAAATTGATATTTCTTTAATTTTTCCCTGAATCTAAAAAGAGCATATTAAATTCTCTTTTCAAAAATACATATCTCGAAAAATATAACAAATAATTCTATGTAAGTTCAATATATTGTGAATTTTTTTAAATCATTTGAATTTTTTTTCTAATTTTTTTAGATCTTTTTTGAATCACTTAAATCTTATTTTAATATCGTTCTGATTCTTTTTTCAAAAATATAACATAAATTCAATGTTGATTTAAAAATATTAAAAAACGGTTTAACAATAAATTAAAAAAATAAAATGTGTGTGTATTTTGGACCTTTATTAAATTTTTTAAAATCGTTTTCAATTTTTGAATCTTTTTTGAGTACGTATCATCCGAGGTTTCATCCTTGGTGTTATATTTTTGAAAAGAGAATTGAATATCTTATCCTCGATTTTATCTTTTAGATTAAAGTATGCAGGGTGTACCGTTTAAAAAATGAGTTAGGTTCGTTAATT